GAAGTAGCAAAGTTTTGAATTTCAAGTTAGCAAGTGTTTTGTTCACAAGGGTGTTATCTCCACTGTGATTGGCTCAATTTATTTTTTATTTGTCCAGTTTATTAGCAAGATTGCTTAAGACGTTGTGTGTGGGTGGATGGTATCCGGAGCTCGGCCCAACATCATGGACTTTTGGAGTATCTAGAAGCAGGAATCTTGAAGGAAAAATGTAATATTTTTTTATCCCTCCTTTCATCCTTTGAGATGAAATATCTAACTAACCCAAATATGATTCTGAATGGAGGGTAGAGAGACTTTCCAGCCTTGGTGGAGGTATGTGGTCTGTTGTTGTTTGTTGAACAGCTGCTGAAACTAATGGAAAAGCTGAGAACATGAGTGTGTGGCTCAGTGAGGACACAGTCCTGCAGTGGATTATTTAGAAAAAGAGAGCGGGCTATAATTGGTCGCATGTTTTATTTCCTTTGTGTGACTGGCAGTAAATTGTCGAGTGGACGGATTTTAAATGGCCTTTAAATAACGAGTGTTTGTTCGAGACGTTAATGCAGAAATATAAAATCACATCATGGACGCTGCTGCACCAGCTGGCCACACACGCGGCCGTTCTCCTATCTTTGCGAGGACCCTCAGGCACACACTGCACTCCTGGGACACTCGGGCCCGGATTATACTGGGTTGCGGATGCACACACGGACAGCTGCAGGCACAACGGACGGGTGGTTGCTCTTATTATATGCACTTTCTGGTCTGCTTGGAGAAAGCGTTACTTACATGCAGAGTTGGGTGGCGGCAATGCAGACAAGTCTACACAACAACAGCGACAATGTGAAGTTCGCAGACAACCGCACAAAAGCCCGATGACTTAATTTAGCCCATGGGTGCGGAAAGTGTGACGCTTTTGTAACCCTGAGCGTGAACCTGCTTCTGCTCCACAGATCTGAACCCTGAGCCGCCCTTTGAGGCCCGTCCCAGAGTGAGGCCTGAACGAAATGTCCCCACAAAGATAGATAGTAGTTAATCCTGGGGTGTGTGTTTCTCTTTGTGTGTTTGATTGATGTGATCGGTGTGTGTGTGTGTGTGTTCAGTAGTGCGTGTGACCCTAAGTATGCGTGTGTGATTAATATTACATGAGGGCTCCTGATGAGAGGTGGACAAACACTCCCAGCTGAGCTCTAACACACACACACACACACAGACACACACATGAATGAATGCATGAGTATATCGACACACACACACACACATTGAGTCACTTGAGGTCACACACATGTTTTACCAGCAGAGTGTGTGTCACAGATAAGATGACGGCGATAACACACACACACACACTCGCGCACGCACCAAGTCTTCACGCTGTCTTCACATCACATTAAACAGTCGGTGGTTACCATGACGACCTGGACACTTTGGGATGCTCACCTGCTGTGACCTGTCAGCTGTGAACCAATCAGGCGACAGAAAACAGAAACTTTCACTCACCTTAGCAGAGACGTTTAGCTGAGACTCTTCCTCTGACCAATCAGTGCCGATCACGCCGAGCCCGAGCCAATCTGATAACGCGAGTCTGCTCGTTGCTCTGCTGGGTTTCATTTCTGTGTGGGACAAAAAAACTGACGAAGGAAGAGCAAACAACATCAAAAAGACATGAATAAGACCGACCTCGGTCCGGAGCAGGGACATGACGAGCACCTGCTGCAATTTGAAGACTGTGAGAACATGTAGGAGACTAAGCAGCTGGTTCCCATCATGCACCGTGGCTCGCAGTGGGATTGCCGGGCCGCCCACAGCAGCAGCTGACGGAGGAGAATCAAAGAGACGCGTCGGCTGTGGGACATCCTCAGAGAGACGTCCTCAGAGGGACTCTGCTTTCTGTGAGACGCTTCATTTTATCTGCAGAGGAGGTTTTACTGAAGAACGCGGCGTTCCCCAAGCACGCGAAATCTGAGCCCCGAGCCTGTTAATTATGACTCAAATATCTCATAACACGTATAACACGGACAGATAACGTCCGGCTGCCTGCTTTGACAGGAAGTAGCTGCAGCGTTGTCGGATTTTGGCAGCTGTATCCTGTAATCCTGCAGGTAAATTGGTTTTGATTTGTTTCCAGTTGTGAAAAGGCAGTTTTCAGACTGTCAGCGAAACATGAGGCCAACATCCTCAATCAGAGAACTGCAGGTTATATAAGCAGAACAGGAAGTTTATCTTATACCTACCACACTCTACAAGACTTTGAAAAGACTTGCTATGGTCTGGGAAATTGTCACGTCTAAAGATAACGTGTCGGTTTTTAGTCAGAGAGAAGGCCAAGTCGGAAAAATGTACATTAATATTAGAGAAATCTGAATTTATCAGTCATTCAAGAAAAGAAAAAGACTTTTTTATGCTCACTTTACACCTAACCATTAAAATGAGCTTCCACAAAACTGTCAGGATTTTAATGGCACCATGGAAATTTGTCTGAGACACTAAAAGTGCTTGAAAGGTTTGGTGCGGGGCATTCGTGTTAGAAATGAGAACGTATACCTCACATTGAGGCGCACACACAGCATGTTTAGATTCTGTGTTACTTCCACTTCCTGAGGATGTCATCGTGTCTGATCTCTATCCAAAATAAACCACGAGAAACCCACAGAAAGTTCTGACTCTGCCTGAGAATCTTTTAGTATTTAAGTTTTCTTCAGCATCAAAGTGAACAGAGATAGATGTCTGAAGATTCACGATGCTCTTCAGATAGCAGCTGCTCGGCTTTCACGCGAGAAAAAGTCGCTTCTGTTCAATGAAAGCAGTTCATGAGAAAACATGAACTAAACAACAGAACCTGAACAGCACAGAGGTATGGATGGGCTCCATCCTGGACAATCCACTCCAGCCTCCTGCTGCAGCTTCTCTCTTATTCGTTTAGCAAAAATCAAATCTTGGCTTTTAAGTTTGGCTGAGATTTTGGAGTAATAATCAATCAATAATCAGTCAAATATCTGGAACACTTATTTATATAAAGTGATGATTCCACTGGGTTTGGTTGAGATTAGTCCAAATTGATTTAGCTGCACATTCTCCCCAGTCCTGCTCTGTTTGCATTTTCACTTCATTTAAACTAACACAAAGTTTTGACTAAACAAGTATAATGTAATAATTTTCCACTGCATGTATTGGTGGCTGTTCCGGTGTTCTGACAAACCATCCTACTTTGGCAAAACGTCCTACCGTAAGTAGTTTATGCATATTTCTGCTGTCACAGAGTAATTCCAGCACCAATTTAAGTAGGTATGACGGTTTGCCACTTAACTTTGCCCATCAGAGTATGCTTGTAGCTCATATGCATACAGCCAGGATGGTTTGCCACTTCATTTTACCCGTTAAAGTATGCTTGTAGGTAACATTCACAAAGGTAGCATGGTTTGCCACTGAATTTTAGCTGTTAAAGTACGCTTCTAGCTCATATTCAGAAAGGTAGGATGGTTTGCCACTGAAATGTAGCTATTAAAGTATGCTTCTAGCTCAGATTAACAAAAGTAGGACGATTTGTCACAAAACTTTAGCAGTTTAAGTATGCTTGTAGGTGACATTCACAAAGGTAGGTTGGCTTGGCAGTTAATTTTACCGGTCAGAGTATTTTTCTAGCTAATATTCACAAAGGTAGGACAATTTGCCACTGAATTTCGTGTTGTGCGCATGCGCAGAAACAACGGGTAGGATGGTTTGCCAGGTAGGATGGATTCCCAGAACACCGGTTCCAACAGCAGGAACTGCCTTTGAAGAGCCTCTTTTACTGCTATTTTCGGGGCAGAACAAACGGCCTACTCTGGGGTAGGTACTTCTCTGGGCACAGAAAACTGCTGGGTGGAGGTCGACTTGGAGAAAACGATGACAAGAAGCACCAAATGTACTAGCGGTAGCATTCGTCTCCTCTTCCACTTGACTATCGACAGCATAAAACTCACCATTTAGGTGGATGCAACAAACAGCAATGATGCAACTGCATCACAAAGCTGTTGCAAAATCATTTCATCATCAGTTCGATCTGATGGATCCTACTGCACAGCAGTGGAAGCATAAAGTCTAAAGGGGTTGGTTAGAGAGCAGCAGACCTCCAGGCTGAAAAGGAAACCAACACGGAAGTGGAAAAAAGAAGCTGCAGTTCCTCCAGTGGCCACTTGAGGCTGTTTCTAAAACCAATTAAATCCCCATAGACTCCCGTGTTAACACTTTCTGTGCCTTTCTACTCAACATGAGCACTCAAAGTGCTTCCTACTACAAGTCTCATTCTCCCAATTGCACAACTCCATGCCTGAACACTTTTTCATCCGCGCACACACCCTAGTAGGTGCACTGGGGACATCTCAGGGTTTGGTATCTTACCCAAGGATACTTCAACATGCTTAACCACACGAGCCACAGCCGTCTCGATAACCGCGTGAAAATAAAACTTAAACCACATTAAAAATACTCAGAACTCTTGTTTATGTGAGAAACATTGTGTTTTTGAGCTTTGCTGGTCGGTTTTCCAGGTGTAGCAATTATTTTTCATTCTCATAAACTCAAATCTGGCCAGATGCTTGTTGAATATGTCGAAGCACCTGGTCTGATGTTTGCAGGTGGTGCTGCAGTATTTTGGGGCTGGATTCATGTTGGACTCCGTCAGCCCACAGCAGCTCACACAGTTGCAGGGGTGTGGCGACACTCTCATTTACTACCTCTCTTCCTCTCTTTCTCCAACTTCACGCTTCAACCTACCTATTAAATATTAATATAAGACCACGCCCCCTCCGACACCACCTAGAAGAGTGTGGCAGATAAGCCCCGCCCCTTTTATTCCCAGTGGGTCTCTCTCTCTCTCTCTTCCCCGCTCTCTGTGAATGTCTCACTCTCTCTCTCCCTGCTTCCTGTGAACGTCTCTCGCTCTCTCTCTCTCAGAACAATGTGTCGTTCACAATAATGGGATTACAGCCATCTAGCCGGCTGCTCACCCTCCCTCCCTCTCTCTCTCTCTCTCCTGTCATCCCCTCTCTCTCTCCATCTGTTTGTTGGTAGTCCTGCGTCCTCCCTCTCTCCCCCTCTCTCTCGCCCGGTGTTCAGGCTCTTTCAGTTCTTGTCGCCTCTTTAATTTTAATTTTCTGGAGGAATGAAAGAAAAACGGACTGTTTCCTGAAAGAAGTAAGTGCCCGTTTCTCTCCCCCTCTCTCACTCCGTCCCTCGGGCGCCGCGCGCTCCTCTCGCTCGCAGAGGAGGCTTTGATTGACAGCTGACTCTCGTTAATTGCGCCGTTATTTAATTAGTGGAGCAGGAATCAGATCAGTGGCACAGAGCCGTGGACTCTGACCGTCGCTTTCTCTCGCTGTGCGCAGAAGTTTCCCGCAGCTGTGTTTCTTTCGCTCCGAAATGTGTCGCTGACTGTTGAATTGTGTTTTCACGCTGGTTTTATTCTGTGGTAGTCAGTCACGGCTTCAGTAAAGTGTTCAGAGTGATGAACTTCAGGCATGTCAAACAAGAAAGAAAAGAAGCTACAAACGCGAAGCATCTCCCTGTAAACATCTTTTTGTGTCTTCCTCCTGCTGCTGGCAGTTTATTCAGCGCTGTGCACATAAAGGTGCAGCCGCTGTGTCAAGCTCTGTGACAAAGCTGCTGCTGTTTGAGGGCTTTATTCAATTAAGATGTGGAAGAATTTCCCACGAAAACCCTCCCCTCCACTTAAAAATGTGCCAACCCGAGGATGCACGAGTCCATGTGATGCTGAAATCTGTGTGCTTCTTTGCAGCAGACTCATGGTCATGGTCTGAAGTCTCATTTGGGACAAAAATGTTTGACGTGAAACACGATAAAAACTCACCGACAGTGAAATAAAACAGAAACAGTAGATCCTGCAGTTTGAAATGAAAAGTGTCCCCCGTGTGCAGCGATCGGTAACTTAACCCTTCATTATTGTGTCTGAGTTGTGTTGTTTCCTTTGAAAGCTGCTTGACAATGTACACTGTAGAAGAAGTGCGGCGGGTCTCCATCTATCCATCCATCCACCCATCTGTTAGCTCTGCCTGCTTTATCCTTTGGAGAGAGGCAGGGGGGCTGCAGCCTTTTGCAGCTGACATTAAGCGAGAGGTGGGGTTCACCCCTGGACAGGTCACTGGTCGATCACAGGGCAAAAATGCTGCAAAAGTGCAACACTGTGGAGTAAAACCCTGGAAATCTTTATTCAGAACAACATATTTTACAGTAAATTACAAGTAAAACATCAAATTGAGGATGAAGCAGCATTTCAAAGCAAGCAGAACCATCCCAGTGAAAAATGGACCCGCCCCAACCTGTTAGCAGAAGTGTCACAGGATTTAAACGCAGTTTTACCTGGAAATGCAAGAAACTGGACGTCTATGAACAGTCAGCTCAGCTGCTGTTGTTTCAAAGCCCCTGCTGCTTCTCAAAGCAGTTTAGATTCAGCTCATCACATGTGGACACTTCTAAAGCATCACGTTAAATGCTCTTGGTGGCTGTCATCGTTTAACCTACATGACAAATTCTGCGAAGGGTCTTATTTTAGCCCAAGAGTTTAAAGCTCCAGCAACTTTTAAGTTTTAGTTTTGACGGCTGCGTTTGGGCTGCCGGTCATAACATATATATTTTAAATAGTGAGGGCAGAAAAACCAAAAAGCAACCAACACGCGTGGCATCTTGCGAGCATCGTCCCTCTCAGTGAGGAGTGCCCAAATGGAAAACGTGGGTGGCGAGCCAGCGGTGCTTTCCAAAGCCTCAGAAAGTTTGATTCTCAGCTGTGAGTGAAAGTGAAACACATTTGTGGGTAAAAACAAGATCAAAACAAAAACATGCAAGCTATCCACTCCTGACAGACTTATGTCACCCTCACCCCTGAACACCGCACAGCAGGACTCACGGGGACGTGAACGCTGCTCCAAACCTGCCAAACAACAGCAAAGCTTCTACCGTCTTATGAAGCGCTTTAATTAAACCGAACCAGCTCGTGACGTGGACCTGCGGGGCCCCTAGAGACACACAGAGCCGGACAATAAAACCTCGAGTTAATAACTGAATAAAACTGTCTGTTTCTCAGAGGATCCTTTAACATCTTTACAAATGAAGGTCAGTTAACCAGCTTTATGGGCTCATTAGACAATAACAGCCCCGCCCTGTGTGGCAAAAACAGCAGAAGCAATGAATCAAAGAATAATTAACCATATTTGTCTGATCGGTTTTGTCACGTTCTTTGCTTGGATGTGATTTTTGAGGCGAAAGGTTGCAGAGTTTGGCAGAATCATTAATTAAAGCTAATTAAGTTTTGATGATGTCGGCTGATTTGGGTGTTTAAAAAACTCGTTTTTATCTTTTTATCTCATGAATAAAGTTTAATGAATTCTGATCAGTGAATGAACAATCCTTCTTTTCGTGTGTGTGTGTGTGTGAAACCCTCCTGTGTTTATATATTTCATTATTATTGATGCATCAGTAATAAAGTAGCTGGAGGGGCAGATTTTAATAGCTCTACAGTGATATCACATTCAAACTGCAGTTTAGTTTAATAAATCTTTCTATTTTATTATCTCATTGTAGTTATTGTTTGTAAACTATTAGGTTGCACAGCAATAACCGAGAGCAGTGTGGTGGGATAAGTATTAAACGCGCTCTTTGAATGAAGTGCAGCGTTTTAATGCCCTTAATGAGTTTTCATGGTGGCTGAATGCGTCACAGCTGGAGATTCAGACTGGAAGCAGCAACAATTAATTGATTAAATGGGAAAATAATCTGCAGATTGTTTGCAGATGTTGAAGCGAACTCTGTCGGAGTTCGGTTTTCTCTGCCGTGTGCAACGCGCATGCACGACTGTCTGCAGCGTTTGCCTCGTCTGTCAGTTCAGACAGAGGCTGAACCATCAGGACATTTCAGTGAGTCACCGAGGAAACTTTGAGCTCCGCCAGGAAACACAGTCGAGTGCTCTGAAGGTGTGATGCTGCCGCTGCAGAAAAATTTCCTGCAGCAACAGAAATGTGTCACATCTGAAGTATTTGGGCTTCCTGTGTTAACAGAGTGACATTTCTCGGTATGTAACATGCTCTGTGGTTTGATCATCTCACGCCAATGTTCTAAGCATCTGCTCGCCTGTCACGAGAGAACCTGACCGCTTTGTGTCCACGTAAACACGCCTGAAGTATCCAACCGTTTCCAAGAATATAAAGTCTCACTAGTGAATCAGGTCATAGAGGAGGAAACATCCCAAGTTTCAGGAGACTTGGGATGTTTTTTTTAAAGCTCGGTCTTCACCCGTGTCCTCTTGATCAGGTTAGGAAAACATCAGGCAGCCTTTTAAAAGGTTAAAAGCTTTTGAAAGCTTGAAAGCTGTTTGAAAGCTTTATTTCTGAGAATATGTCACGGGGCTAGGTTTGGATTAGAGCGCTGGTGTTTAAACTGGGAAGTGAAGACGCTGCAGGTCGTGCGCAAACAATTAGGTTAATAACACGAAGTGAAGATAAAGTGAATTCGATGTTTTCGGTGAGAGAGGGTCGTAGCTCCTGCAAAAATAAAGGTGACGTGTATTTAGATGAAGCTCTACTTGGATTTTTGTATGACTGATGAAGTGGAAAAAACAAACAAAGCATGAGGTGTGATGCAAGGACTATTTTCAGCATGCCAGAGGAAACCACAGGGTTAGCGATTAATTCTGTCCCATCTAAAGGTGATGAAACCGAAGCACTTGTTACATGCACTCACATTGTTGCACAAACATGCAGAGCTGCCGTTTGTCAGTAAATCATCCAGGTTTGCAACAAGAATTTAACTTAACACGTAGCACACAGTGCACACAGCCCACCTCTAATGCATGTTCATTGTATAAAAATACTGGGAGCTGCTGGGATGGAGCGTGCAGGTCGTGTTGCACTCATTTACCTGTGTTATTCTCACACTGGTGCATTCAGGTGTGTGCTAGAGAATTGTCAGGTTGAGGGCGGTTTAACTTCTGCACTGACAGACTGTGTGTGGTTCAGGTGACGGAGCAGCCTGGATGGAGGCAGACACCAGCCTTTAATAGGGAGTGCACTGGAATTAGTTCCACTGTTTGCACATCTGTGGCTTTGAACAACGCACGGTCTTTGTGCCAGCGAGCTGGCAGGTTACGTTTCGGTTCTTTGTTGGTCCGGAGTAGTTTCGAGCTGAAGCACACGTTTGAACGAATGAATGCTGCGTTTGGATTTCTCTGCTCTCGACATAAATTTAAACGGACGTCGTTTCTGTAAATAACAAGTTTGTTGGCTGCTGTCAGGTGACGCAGCCAGCTGTTGCTTGGACGAGGGCGCGTTCTAGGATGAATCTTTGACTAGCGGTGGCATGACAACCGAAAGCGATAGGTCGTGTTAGTTATGCACGTATGAAAATATTATAAATATTTGTTCTTTTTGTACACTTTCGACTTAGTTTACAGACTCTCATTACCTCCGTGCACCTGTTCTATGAGTTTAATTATCTTCCCACAGATAGTATGGTAATATAATCTGAATTTGACTGACAGCTTTATTGCTTTTTTTTTTTTATAGCTGCAATAAGCCAAAACCATGATAATCATGAAGGCAAATCCTGATTCTGTTAGTGTCATTTTAAGCCAACAGAAACTGCCTGTTTC